AACCACTTCCCAAACGTTGCCACCAATGCTAAGAGTCAAGATTGATTTTAAAACAAATGAAAAATTAAAGGACAATCGCCAGCCCAGAGTTGTCAAAAGAAAATAGAAGCAGATAATGTTGCTTCTACTTCTGGCATGTATCTTAAATGAGAACACATGAAAATAAATTGATTATAATAATGTGGCAGAACTTGCTATAACCACACCCAAATCAAAAGCATACAGCTATGCAAAATTTTGTGAAAGGGGCAGCCAAAATCCATCTGAGTGACAATTAAAAGTAGGTTACTACCCCAGGGGATCAGAGGTTGTATACTGAATTAGGCATTTATTGGAAAACAGAAACATGCAAAAAAATAATGTGGGCATGGGAGCTGAGTGCATCCATATGCATTGAAAGTGGTCCTAAGTTCCCAATTGGATTCTATGAAAAGAAGCAAAGCCAAAACTGTTTCTATTCTGGTGCCTTCAATCACCACATCAAATGACTCTCTATAAAATATTGTTAGCCTTTCCTTTCCATGGCTTTAAAAGAACGGAAGGAATAAAGTACTGGTATATAAATTTGACAACAACCCAATATTCTGTTTACATCCACAGCTGACTTTAGAACACCATTTGTCGCTGTGACCAGGGGGACATTTGCCCAGGTTCGCCTGGTGCACCAATTGCGGCCCTACCTGAACAGGAGGCCCTCAGAACAGTCACTCACGCCCTTGTGACCTCCAGACTGGACTACTGTAATGCGCTCTACATGGGGCAGCCCTTGAAGAGCATTCGGAGACTTCAGCTTGTCCATAATGCAGCCGCACGAGCGATTGTGGGTGCACCCTGGTACACCCACGTTACACCTATCCTCTGCGAGCTGCACTGGCTGCCTATTGGACTCCGGACACGCTTCAAGGTGCTAGTCGTTACTTTTAAAACCCTACATGGTATTGGACCTGGGTACTTGAGAGACCGTCTCCTGCCAATTTACCTCCCTACGACTAATGAGATCCCACAGATTAGGCCTCCTCCGGGTTCCATCAGCTAGCCAATGTCGACTGTCGACCACCCGGAGGAGGGCCTTCTCTGTGGCAGCTCTGGCCCTCTGGAACGATCTCCCCGTGGAGATTCGTACCCTCACCACCCTTCAGGCTTTCCGCAAAGCCGTTAAGACCTGGCTGTTCCGGCAGGCCTGGGGCTGATGAGTTCCCAGCCCCACCTCGAATTGTGTGGCTGTTGTGAGTTTTTAATTCCGTTTTCTATATTTTGTTTTTTGTCTTGTTGTTTTCTTTATATTGTCCCCATTCCTTATGGTTTGTTAGCCGCCCTGAGTCGCTCCTGGGAATAGGGCGGCATACAAATTTAATAAATGATAACGAACGATAACGATAACGGTTACAGTGGACAAATGTACACACTGAATTATAGTTTAAACTTTATAAAGCAAAAACACATCAGATTTCATTATCTTTGTATTAAATGTCTTCAAATACATTACTAAAGACAAAAAGTACAATAATTAATATTTATACATTGTATAAAAGTTACAGACACTGCTGAAAGTAATGGGGCATGGTTAATTAATTGACAGTAATCTGCTGTCATTCTCCTTGTCCTGTTAGCTTTTTCAGAGGCCATGCAAAGAAATTAAAAGGAGATATGTCTGGCCTTAAAACTACAACTTTCCGAAGCCCCCACCCCCCTGTATGATTTAAGATATCTCTTTATTGCCCGCCTCTCCTTCAGCCAGTATTGTTTAACTGTATTGTGGGGGTATTTTCAAAGGTGTTGTCATGGCCTATTGGCTGCCGCCCCCTCAAACAGCCGAATCAGATGAGGAGGGAGTCATGGTTAGCATCAAGGCAACCTGAAAGGAAAGAGGGAATGTAGCTGGCAGAGAGAGAGACAGAGATGGAGCCTGGGCGTCCATCAGTCTCCAGGTCTAAAGGTGGCTGATGAGGAAGAGTAGGGACAGCTGGGTTTAGTACCTGACGTGTGGATGTGCAGAAGGCAGAGGAGAGGAGAACAGTGGAATTCATAGTCTGATTTTTGGGAAGGAAGAGCCACCACTGCTAGTGAAGGCCCACCCTAGCTCTGGGGATAAAAGGCAGGAGGCGGAGATGAATAGATGTGGCAGACAACTATTCATCTCCCTGCCAGACAGACTTGTTAGCCTGTGATAAAAGAGAAAGTTTTTGCTGGGGCTGCTGGCGCTCCTAATAAAGGAATCATTGCTTCAACTACAGAAGGTTTGTATGTTTGGAGAACTGGGTCAGAACAGGTGTCAATTTTGCTCTTCCCACTTAAAATAGTTGGAATTTTAAAAGCAAAACAGTACACTGGGATCTGAAATAATTCATAAACACAGTAGATCAGTAAATTGTTATGGGTGTAAATTAAGGTGTTGGTCTCCAGGGATTGCTGTCTTTATTACCCTTACCACTGGAGTCTTACCATCGCTAATCCAAAGGCTGGGCATCCTGCACTCTCAATGTCTATTCTAGGTAGAGAGCGACATAATTGCTCTTCGGGTGGGGCAGTTGGGATAGTTTCCCTCACCTGTGCATTTTCTTGACCCTCTTTTCCCATCAGGGGAACATTTTTCTTTCCACCTTTTATACTACTCTAAGTTTGGAAGGCAATGTATATCTATTTTGGCACACCTTTTTAAGAAGTTCTATAAACATTTTACTTGTGAGATTCTAATATTGGATTCTCTTTTCTCAAAACTGTCACCCTCCTTAGCTACTTAGGTAAAAGGCTTGGGAGCATTTTTTTTTCTCTGTGCATCTCCTAATTGCTCTATCAACACTATGACTTCCCCTATCGATATTCCCAGCCCTGGATTTATTTAGGGACTATGCATATAGAAAGGAGCTCCTTTCATTAAATGGGCCTCTCCTGACTTCTGCCTGTTAATATCTTAGGCCCATTAACTGATTCCAGCTGAGTATAATCTCTGTCAGTTCATGGTGCTTGAGCAACCTCTGGATTGCCAGGTGGTACCGTAGGTTTATTAGTGACCAAGTGTCCTATGTTAGCTACCCAAACATTCTCAAGTTCTTTATCCTCTGTCAAACTGAATTCCTCATCATCAAATTCCACATATATCCATCTCAGGTTTCTACATTTCACTTCTGGGATGATATAAGAGGTCTGTCTTTATAAAGATTGGATATGTAGCCTTTCTTTAATTGTTTATGGGGCTTTAATTTTAATTTAATTTAATTTTGCAATCTGAACAGCCATAGTTTCTGCTTGTTTGCTGAATTCCTATGCATGTTTCAGTGCCTCTCTTAAAAGGGTCTGCTGACTTTTATAAGTGATGATTTCTTCAGTTTGCTACTATGCCTTTTACTGAGAAGCTTCTAATTGCTCCTAAGCATTATGGAGCACTATTATTATTATTAGCAAGCGGGAGTTTGGCAGCCCTGGACTAGTCCATCCACTGACTTCTTCCCCATCTTCTCTCCCACTCCCAATAATAATAAGCAGTGAAGTTTTGCATTAGGAGAAGAGTCTCCAAATTGTGCCAATTTCTGTAAGCATGAAGGTGAAGTCAACTGGTGGTTTAAGTTTTGAGCCACTGGTTCATAGACATTGTGCTGAGTCTTGACTTGCAGATTTTCTTTCCCAAAACCAGTGCATTGTCACTAGATCCCATCTTTGTTACCAATTGTGTTTTGCCAAGTGTTAGGGCAATGATCACATGCCCAGGCAATTGGTTCTTCTCAATGTAGAGACTCCAGTAAATAAAGGGATTTTAAGCTTTATTATCTCAAACAAACACATTTGAAAGCATAACTTAAAAAGCATATATAACAAGCAAGATAATATTATAAATCTCTTACAGGTTGTCAGGACCTCCTTAATAGACAGAGATGCCTCAAGCTCAGTTATTTTTTCAACAGTACCCAGCACTAGCTTCCACTGCGGAAGCTCCCCACTAATAACAATCCAATAGTTTTTATAAAAACTTGACACCATGACTTCATGGTCCAACTGTGGTAAGGAGACTGCAAGAACTGACCTTGACTTGCTGGCACATAACTCTGGGTGGGAATTGAAAATGTGAATCTATCATAGGAAGAAAAGCTTTGAAGTTACTTGAAAATTTCCCCCCACCTATGTTCAGCAAGCAAGGGTGAATACAAGCAGGCTACCTCAGAATGAGCTCTACGTTTCTAATAAATCAAAAATGTCACTAATTCCTCGTTAATCCTAATAATAATGTTTGTCTGCATTGCCTCTACAAACTATCTCAGCAATGAAGGTTTTAAAAATCAAGATTTTCAGATATTTTGGATCTTCATATGCTCTTAATTTTGAGCCTAAAAATTTGCTTTCCCCACTACCCTTTCCAGTCCTGCTCTTCTGCTGCTTTTTCTCTGTGACTGACCTCTGAGTGGGTGGGTAGGGTGGGTGGGAGAAATCTGAAAATACTGTAGTGGTGGGGAAAAAGCCAGTTGGCTGTGAACATCTTCCCGAATTTCCAATAAGACTGGATTCTGAACAGGTCTGAAGAGCCCAATTATATTTCTAATTATATGAAACCCTGGATACCTAAGGTTATCAGAACCTGCAACTATACATATTCAACATTTCTTCCAATAGCTGGGAGAACCACCTGGTACTAGCAGCACTGTGTCAAATCAAACTATCAAGGCCAATTAGAAGAGGAAGACTAGTGTGAGAAATACAACACTAAATGTAGGCATTGATCATGCATGATTGTGGTGTTCTTCAATATCATCAAAGAAGCAAATTGGATAAATATGTGCTTCGGAGGTTCCACATTCACGTTTGCATTTAATTCATTGGATAAATGGCTTACAAACATCAGTATCTTAGATAATTTATATATTTCAGATCATTTGTTCATTCCCCTGTAAATATTCATTTTTATTCACTTTTTACTGAACTTGTTCAAATATGAACCCGTTCAAAAATTAATCTCATTTAAAATAATATTGTTTTTTATATTTCTATTTTTTTCTATGTCTTTATTCTAGATCATTAAAAAATTAATTGAAAGGAAGCAAGCACAGATTCAGAAAGTTTATCCTGGCCTTTCTTGTTTCAAAGATGGAGTTCGACAGATTCCAATAGAAAGTATTCCTGGAATTAGTATGTACCCTGTGTTTTTAGTTGTTTTGTTATATTGCCAAGGTCATGTTTAGTTATTTCTATCTTTTTCTGCAAATAGTGGTTTAATTTAAACTACTAGATTCTCTTCTCCAGAAATGTTATAGTTCTTGGTTATTTATAAAATTTTACTGACAATTATGTATTTTAATTGTGTATCATGACAGGATTATTTATTTTCTTGTTATTAACCAAAATTAATACATAATTATCATTACTTTTATAATACTTTGGGAATTAAAAATAAAAACTGGTAGTTCTGATGCTTTTTTGACTGATTTGTATGTAGATATTAATTAATTGTTGGGAGTTTGTTCTTTAAAATATTCAGTTATATCTGAATGTTGGCTTATCCTCTAAAGCAGGGGTATCAAACTTGCGTTGTCATGGTGTTGTCACTTGATGTATCGGGACTTCCCCCCACCCTTTGCTAAACTGGACATGGGCATGGCCAGCTCATGATGCATCCAGACTGTGGGTCGTGAGTTGGACAGCCTTGCTCTAAAAAAGAGTATATGGATTTAAAACTGTAAATTGTAACTTATCATTTTTATTTGCCTTTTGCTTTAATATTGCTTATTGCATAGGAGAGACTGGCTGGAAACCAAGTAATAAAGATAAGAGGTAAGCATTGTTAAGTAAAATAAATTAAATAAAACTTTTCAAATTGACTATTAATACATTTCTTAAAAATAATTGGATATGTATTTCTCAGCAGAATAGTTTTGTCATTAATAGTTTATCATTGGTGGGTTGTTGGCTAATTAAAAGAACCATACAGATCATACATTTTAATCTTGTTTGCATTTTATTTTAAGTAAAGAACCCAAAGATCTGGATCAACTTTACAGCACGCTAAAAAACATTCTACAACAGGTCAAGGTATGTTTTGTTTTTCTAAATCTCATGAAATGTTTTCTGATACATAACATTGATCAGTAATACTTTTTTTCCTAGAGCCACCAAAGTGCTTGGCCTTTCATGGAACCAGTGAAGAGAACAGAGGCTCCTGGATATTATGAAGTTATAAGGTTTCCTATGGGTAATGCCATTAGTATTTTTAAAAGGCCTTTACAGAAAGTGAAAATAAAATTTAAAATATGGAACTGTAAAAGTGTGCTTGTTCCATCAATTTTGCACAACCATTAGAAACTTTTTTTCAGTGTAATGTCAGTGATACCTGCATTAGAAAAAGCAGATATGTAGGAAAGTGATCCTGAAGAATCCTGTGTAGGAGCTCATGCAAGGGATTTTTCTGTTTGGGTTCACCTGTGTTATCAGCTCTCATCCGTTTGTTCAAAAATAGATTTAAGGAGAGCTATCTGCTTATAGAAAGCTGTTTTGCCCAAAAATAATTAGGTACTTTAAAGGGCAGCATTCTCTTCCAGTGAGATTATTTTTACTCACCCCGTTCCTAAAAACAACAGAATACCTGCCAACATTCATTTTTTACAATTGGCTGACAGATTCATTATAATTTATAAAGAATTATGGTTCAGCTGCAAAAAGATGGCGTGATTATGTATATAAACTGTGATTTTATGTAGCACTGAAATAACTGAAGTTCAGTGAACAGACATTTTTTCATTAAAGGGGGGGGGACACAGAACCAAATGATATTCTAATAAGATGTTTGTTCTTATACAGATCTGAAAACTATGAGTGAACGACTGAAGAATAGATACTATGTATCTAAGAAATTGTTCATGGCAGATATGCAACGAGTGTTTACTAACTGCAGAGAGTACAACCCACCTGAAAGTGAATATTATAAATGTGCCAATATACTGGAGAAATTCTTCTACACAAAAATTAAAGAAGCTGGATTAATTGACAAATAATTTTCTTCTCATGCAATTAAGATGCCTAATGTAACAGCAAAATATGCAGTTCTTTCACTAGATTTGAAACTTGTTTATAAAATAAAACTTTCTTAACTAGCACTTTTAAACATGTAATATAGAAGAGTTTATTTTATTAAAGTATTTTTAAATGTACACTTGCATGCCCTTTTGCGGTGTATTCAATTTTTATTAGATGTATTGCACAAACTGTTTGGAGATTTGGAAAGGGTAAATTTCCAAGCAGTGAATGTTTAAGTTTAATGTATCAGATTGAAAAATGGATTATTTTTACAGCAAAGATGTTAATGAAGGGGGAAATAAATTATATATTATGAATTATATATAATATATAATACTAATACATATACAATTTTATTTTTACACACACTTACATACACACACACACACAGATACAGACACATGAAAATAAAACATTCACTAAGAGGAGGTGCTTAAGCTACAAGAAAGGAATTCCCTTATTAGATGGAAGTTTAATTTCTTCTGTGAATTTGGTTGTTAGAATGAAGGAAACTACACATGTCCCAGGATGTTGCAGGATTCAATCTGAGAGTCACTGGGACCAGAGATTTAGTCTTCCAAACTTTTAGGACCCATTCTCAGGGCTCAGAATGGGTTTCTGAGAATGGGCTCTAGCATAAGTCTGAAAGCTTGGAAGACTACGTTTCTGATCCCAATGACTGGCTCAGATTGGACCTTAGCTCCTAATATTTGCATTTCAAGGAAAATGTAGCATCATTTTCACTTAGGTCAAGTTCTGAAAAGAACATCAGACTTTGTATTAAGCTCCCAACTGTTGCTTAGTCTTTTAGTAGATTTAGAAAAGTACTATTTCTACTATTGAACCCAATCTAGCAATAGCTTTGTCTTTATAGATTTGTATGGATCTTTATGCATGAAAGCCATTTTGCAAAAATACAGTAGGTGCTGTAATGAGTGGGTGGAATGGACAATAATTTGAATTCTCAAATAGACCTTACCCCCGAGTAGGGTATATTTTGATAAATGCATATACAACTAAAGCAGTGGTCACCAACTGGTACACCTGGGTGATGGAGCTGCTTCAGGATGACCAATGGGCCAGTCCTGTGACTACTACAACTCTGAAATTGGGGACTGACTTTCCCACCAATGTCAGCAAGCCACCGTCAGTCTGTCCATGTTTGTTTTCCTTCAGATTGACCAAATGTCTTGAGAGAAGGGACACAAGAGGTTTCCAGGCTGTGTGCCTGGGACAAGGTGCTTTATCTTGGGCCTCCCACCTGGAGGTCTTGCAGAAGCAGACATGTAGGCCCAAAGGCGGTTGAGCCTCCCCTCCCCCCAGGGGTCAGCGGGACTTAAAATTATGGATTTGGTGGACCCTGAGGTATGATTCCTCCAAAAGGTTGGAGACCCCTGAACTAAAGCATACATCATTGAAGAATGTATACTAAACTGCGCAATGGAATCAGTAATACCTGATTGATAAGAAACCATATCTAATTTTAGTGTAGATGAGAATATCTCCCACTTAGTAATAGAGGCTGATATGCAGTTTTTCTATAGATATTTGCATTATAAAGTGATGGGAAACATACTAAAATCTGAAGACACAACTAACAAGATTGATAGATTTTAGTGGTTAGCTCAAAATTTGACTGCATCCAGCCCAATGCCACATAGAGTATAATTTTGTGTCTTGCCATAGATAAAATAATTTATAAAAGCAGCTTTGAGTAGAGCTTTATCCCACTGTTAATTTCTACTTGGATTAATACCAGTTTTTAAAAATTAGGAACTTGAATTTTGTTATTAATTCCATATATATTTGAGCTATTTCTTACATTATACATAAGAAATAAACTTCATTTCATATCATTAGTTATTAGGGAAGCCATACTCATTAACCACTCAATTCTACAATGTATCTCAACACTGGAGGGGAAAGTAAAATACCCCTAGTATGTTTATGTATGTATATGTGTGTGTACATGCACATGTACATACAAACACACACTGTTCATGCTGAAATATTTCACTAGTAAACTTATAGAAGGTAACAAATGACATTACAAAGGAGGTTTTTTGGCACAATGCCTATAGTAATGTTTTATTCAGATTAGATGAACATTGCTAGAAGGAAATGGTACATAATAGATAAAATAGAAATATAGAAATGCCTTAGCGCTTTATATAAACCAGAATGAGCTTTGTATTTAAGGTACAATGATGCAACTTTGTTTTAGAATATTTAAATAGTAATTTTCATGTATTTTGTAAACTGGGCCAACAGAGTCACCTCTAAAGCTTGATATCCTGTGAAAGTGTTATTTTCAAAGATTCTTATTGTCTTGAAATTAGAGTCTCTTCTATATTGAGAACATTTTGGTTCCTAATTTAAAGATTATTTTCATAGATATTGTGCAATAAAGTTATACACAGTATGTGTTTAAATACTTTAACTGAAATTTTACATTTGTAAAATTATTTATTGTACTGGTATAAAATGGTTTTAAATTATATGTATAACATTGATCTTGTGTGCTATTTTGTAATTTGCATATAAAAATACCAGACATACTCATTGTTTGTAGAGTACCCTCATTTTATGAAATGGAATGTAAGTATACTATAACACCTTCAGGTAATAAGAACTGGAACTCACTGTGCAGTAGCAAATTCAATGGAATTTCGAGATTTCATACAGATTAATATAAGTTTCAAGTGAAATCAAAACATGTTATTTATGACTTTTACATTTTCCTTAAAAGATATCTACTTAGAAAAACTAGTTAAATCACTGATACCATAGGCTTACAATCTAAAGACACAAAAGACCAGAAAAAAAAACAATTTTGGATATAACTATTAGTTGAAATTCTTGTACTAAAAGTAAATACAGTTAGGTTTCTACTTATCTTTCTCTTTGCTGTAAGTGCTATTAGAAGACTAATAGTTGCTTTGAAATAACTGAATAAAAATACTAGCATATAACTTGATACATCACATCACACAAGACTTATGACAATGTGGAAGTTGGATAGCTGTGAAATATAAGCCAACTCACATTCATTCAGAACTACTAGTATTCACTGGTGTTTATTCCTAATAATCCTACAAGTTAACATATTCAGCTTATTTTTTACAAACTGTTAGAATAGTTGCAAAAATATGGAGATTGAAACTATCATTGATAATTAAACCAAATTACCTTTAATCAAAATTATTCATGTTTTTATTATAAATGACATATAAATAATAGTTTAGAAAGTACAATAGTTTATTTCTAATGACAGACTGTTAAAATAAACTGCATTTGTTAGCAAATAAATGATAATTGCATTTCAAACCTATTGTTTTCTATCACGTTCAGGAAGTAGCTCCTATTAAAATGACAATAGGTTATTCACATCTTTCTGAATAGATACATTCTGGAAGTCAGTGGATGTGTGATATAAAATATTATCAATATTCATAAATCTAGATCAGAAACATGCAAAAAGCTCCATCTCCAGAATTTTAGTTAATATACTTTCAGCATAATATTAATGAGAAGCTAAGGATATTCTATGAGTATCTTAATAACCAACAAATGCTTCATTGTATCTGGACAGCATCTTTTTATTAAGAGATTTGGATTTGTTGTTCTTTCTCTCTTTAAAAATGGGAGAGTTCAGAAAGCTGGTATCTGTAAACGGGTCTCCTCTTCTAAGTTTCCTATCAAAACAAATTAGATTTGGGTTTTTTTTGTAAAATTTATAAATTGAAACAATTCAAACAATAACAAAAATATGAAATTAATGTAGTTCTTACAGTAAGAAAAACCATAAGGCTATATAATTTACTTTTGAGAGAATCCAGAAACAAAGATACTAACCCACTGAGACTTGGCTCCTTATAACTCACGTAACTAGTACTTCTACGTCTTTGGTGAGTAGCATCTTTTGCTATGGTACCCAAGGCTAGGTAAGAAATTCTTGTTTGGTAAGAAGTTGATGCAACATTGGTAATATCATTGAGATGATGTTTTTGAAGTGCCTCAGATGATTCATCTGTTGAAAGAAATTACTGTCACTTTCCCCGATAGCTACCATTATTATCTCCCCCTCCAGTTTCAGGCAATGCTAATCTGAAGTGAACTCAGCTTTAAAATTTGAATATATTACTGAATATAAACAATATTTAGTTCTTAAATGATGACTACTATAGCTTGTTCATTTAAAACAAAAGTTCAATGCTTTGTTGGCTACTTCAAAGTATGGTAAATTTTTAAAGCTTATATTGCAAGGGGAAGACCAAGGAAACAATGCATTTGTGCATATTTATTTTTAAAAAATATTTTGAAAAGTATTAGCAAAAATGCACACAATTTTTAGAATCTGCAACTATGTACTATTTTTGATTCCAGTACTGGATATTGAGAACTATGTCCTAAACTAATACATTTCTATAATAATAGATATAGAAAGCAAGAATTTTCTTACCCAAATAAGATTCAAATATCTTAGTATTCCTGTTTTCCCCCTCAGGATTTATATCATGTTGCTCAGGCACAGTTTTCTTGGATCGTAATTTTGTGCGTAGTGGGATTACATCTGATCCAGTATTTAAAGTTTCATTGGATTTTGATTTTTTTGAGTAAGGCACATAGAGACTATCGTTAGGATCTTCTTCTGAAACAGACGATTCACCACTACATATTTCTCCTTTTGTATACTCTTTGTCATCAACATGTTCATTTTGTTTGTTTTGCCGGAAAGGTGTTATATGAACAGATTCTTCACTAATAAAATCATAAGCATCATTGGAAGGAATGGATGTATTTGCTTTTTGTTTAGGTCCGGCATGCTTATTGCAGTTTTTGTCTTTGTTGGATCTTGCCTTGGGCACATTTTTTGTGGTTACCAATTTTCTCTTCTGACCCTTCCCTTTTTTAGTTTTAAAGCCACCATTATTATTAAAATTACTTTGTTCTGAAAAAGCTGTGGCCTTTTCAATTTGTGTATCTGAATCACTTTTATCAGATTCAATTTGCATATCTGATTCACATTTATCAATGTTTACACTGTGCTTGTCCTCCTGACTAATAGATATTTCTTCAGAATTTTCATTATTATTATTCTTTGAACATGAAAGATCAGCACTGATAGCTGGAGTGCCATCATCTGATTCAAAGACTTCACTGAGGGAATTAATTTTTAAATAACGACGACGGGTAGAAACATTTTTAGATACAGAATAATCAGTTTGCTTGTCTTCATCAACTGAAATAATTCTGCTTCCAGAATTTACATGATCTGGATGATCTTCACAGGAATAATTCTGGTAACCTAGAATTTAAGGTATGCATCAGTGACCAGCAAAGCTATATTTAAAGAGAAGTAACTTAGAAAGTTAAGCAAATGTATAGATTTATAAATCATACTTTCCATAATAATTAACAAGTTCTATTTTGTAAACAGTATAGTTAATAAAATTTATTAGATGCAAATAATGAAATTTTAGTCACTATGAAATTCTTCCAGTCAAATGAGGCATGGATTACTTACATTTAACTACATTATTTATTTAATTTATACCACATCTTTGTATTAGCAAGACAGTTAATAGAATGTCATAAAGCTTCTAAAAATATAAATTAAAGACATTTCAAATGCTAGGAAAATATAGTTTAAAAAATGTTCAATTACCAAAACTGTACGCCGAAAATAACTTCCAAACAAGTGCGTTCCATAACCTGAATGTAGCTCAGGAGGCAACACTCCTTATTTGCTAGAAAGACAGGTTTCTAATAATGGCACATTTTCAAAATAGCCTACCATCCTGATCTTGATACCCAAATAGATTCATCATGACAGAGCATTTCTGATTATTTTTTAAGGCTTTAAAAATTAGTAGTACTCAAAATGTTGCTTCCACATATTCTAGTAAACTGGTGCACATTCATATTCTGCTTCCACAAGTCCTCTTCTGTTGCCTCTCTCCTAATTTTGTCTGCTGCCATCTCTGACAAATCTTCCGGACATGCTATAAGTCATGCCCCCAACTGACTGCATCATGCCCACACTTTGCTTTTCAATTATATGAACATTTTTTCCCTTCATTCAAGGCAAGAAAAAATAAATTATAGGAACCATTTCATGTACAGCTAATCCTTGTTTTGATGGTAATTGGGGCCAGAATTTCTATTGCTAACAATATGGTCATAAAATGTGATATGTGACAGCATCACTTAATGCCAGCAATTGTGACTGTCCCCATTGCTACCAGTAACGGAACTTTATCAATAGCTTAGACATCAATCTAAGCCATTCAGGCTTGGTTCTTCCCAATCCTGAGCAATGTTCCCTCTACTTTTTTTTTTCAGTGTGAGCAGAAAAGTATAGTGTTTGAGCGGCACATTTTCATGCCTGAGCACCTGAATTTTTTTCACAGATGTCACCTAAGACAACAACAAAATCACTATTATTTGAAACTCAAAGTTATGTTTATTCAAGGTACCCACTTAATTAAGTGTTATATAATGTAAGTATCACTTAACAACGGTCCTGCTTAGCAACCAAAACGTTGGTTCATAAAGTCTGGCATTTGAAGCATGCAAGTCTTAAAGCTGTTGTTACAAGATCCTTGCACCTCTAACCCTTTAGAAAGAAAAATCCCAGGGGTCTTCAAACCTGACAGCTTTAAGACTTGTGGACTTCAACTCTCAGAATTCCTCCTCCAGTCATGTTGGCTCAGAAACTCTGGCACTGAAGCATGCAAGTGTTAAAGCTGTCAAGTTACAAGATCCTTGCACCCATAACCCTTTAGGAAAAAAAACCTCAGTGGTCTTCAAACCTGACAGCTTTAAGACTTGTGGACTTCAACTCCCAGAATTCCTCCTCCAGTCATGTTGCGGCAACATCATCTGTGTGGATCTGCTCCATCTTCGGTTTTTTCACTGGGGGCAGGGCTGCCTCTGAAGATGCCAACGAGCCCCCCCCCCCCGCCACTAGAATAACTGCTGCCGCTGCCTCCTCATCCTCCAACAGCACCACCACATTTGCTGCCCAGCGCTGCAGCTGAGGTGAAGCAGCCAAAGCTCCCGCTGGCGCCCCCACCCATGGCAGTGGTGGCGGTGCCTCCTCCTCCGCTCAGAACACCTCAGCTGGGCAGGGGTGCTGGCGGAAGCTTTGGCGGCTTCACCTCAGCCGCAGCGTCGGGTGGCAAATCCGGCAGTGCTGTTGGAGGAGGAGACAGCAGATATTCTGGTGGCGGCAGGGGCTTTGGGGGTTTATTTCAGCCGCAGCGCCGGGCGCAAGCGGCTAGGATTGGTCACCCACAAAGGACCTCCCTGGGCTTGCTTTGCTGAACATGAGCGGCCGCAGCAGGCACAAACTACTGTCAGTCGTTCCGTGCTCATCAAAACAAGTCTGGGGAGGTCCTTTGTGGGCGGCCAGTTCTAGCTGCCTGCAAAGGACTTCCCCATGTTTGCTTTGCTGAACACAGGGCAACTGACGGTAATGAGCGGCACAGCCGGCACCTAGGATGTCCTAGGAGGCCAGCTGTGCCGCGTAAACTCCTGCCGCCGTCCCCGCGCTAACCCTAGATTTTGTGAGGCCCCTGCACGGCAGTTAGAAACTGGTTTTCTTGCCACGTGTGCGGCCGTGCAACCGCGCACCTTAGAGAGAACAGTGGTCCTGAGCCCTGATTCTTCCAAGGCATGTCCCTTTCAACACCCTCCAATTGATTATATTCTCTCTCATCTCTGCCCTTTTGGCTATCCTGCACCCTACCCTGCTGAATGGCCAGCAGCCACAGATCAGTGTGGCTCTGGGGCTGCTTGCCCTGTTGCAGCTCAAGGTCTTATTGACACACTGCAACTCTGGGGTTATAAGAAGCCCAACTTGCAGTATGGTGCAAAATCCCAGCCAATGAGCATAAAATTGCAGTCAACTTGGGAAACCTCAAACAACCCAGCAGCATGGCAAAAAATTACAGCTGCCCTGGGAAGCTTCAGCTGCCCTCAAAAAAAATCCCAGCCAATCATCCTGGCCATCCTGCATTCTGAGGCCCTGACATCCCAGCTGAACTTTGTTGTCTTCTTGCTCCCATTGCTGATAAGGTGTACCTGCTCTGGCTCTTTGCAAAGCAGTGCTGGCCATATGAAGTCATCTTCCCCAGGCCTAACAAAGAAATTGAACTTCAGTGGTCTGGGAAAGAAAGCCTTCAGGTCCGGGCTGGGCATGCTTGGTCAGCAACAGGGACAAGAAGATGGCAAAGGTCAACTAGGGTAGCAGAAACTCAAAAGGGCATAGATGGAGTGCAGATATTCAGTGGGGAGAGATGAAGCAACTCTCCAATCATAAGTGGGTGAACTGCCTGGTGCCCAAATTTTGATTACATGACTTGATGGTACAACAGCTGTAACTTCCAGGGCTACAATTGTCCCTCATTGTCCCTATTCAAAGCCACCCTAGCTTTGAATTGTTGTTGAACAAAATTATTCTATGTTGAGGATATATTGTAGTGGTTAAGATATCAGTCTAAAAGTGGGAGCCTGAGTTTTAACCTGTTTTAGGCACAAATCCATGTGAGTAACATTGAGCCAATCACTCCCCCACAACCTACTTAACAGGCAATGGCAAACCATTTCAGAAAATCTTGTCAAGAAAACTGCAGGGACTAGTCCAGGCAGTCACGAGTCAATACTGACCTGAAGGCACCAAAACAAACAAACAAACAAACAAACAAACGTTTAAAAATGCAGCATTCTAATACATTCAAGTCTGACTTCACAATTTGAACTGTGTAAGATATTTTAATAGCATCTAAAACCTGTAAATTATCAATTGAAATAGATTTGAAAAATTTTAAACCTACATTCAATTATTTTTTAAAAAATGGATATAAGTAATTTGCAATAAGGAGTTGGAATAGTCCATACTGATAAACCAGTAAAGCTCTTAAAGAATGTTAAGCATATTTTTTTAGATTAATTGAGTCTTAATTCCACAAACAATTACTATTTAAATATTTACTGGACACTGTAGAGATCAGTTATCAAATTCTTTATCTTGGAAAAATAAAATGATTGTGGGTACATATACCTATTATATGGGTTTGTTCTGCTATGTTCCCAGTTTAACATTCAGATAATTTTGAGAAATGTGACTTCTGTACTATATACCAAAACTTTGGAATGTATGAACTCATGAACTATGGATTAATCAATCACTGGGCCTAGCAAAAACATTTTGTAATTATTTAAAGAGTACACTAGATTAATTATATGTATTTGCTTTCTACTTTTAATCTGGCCCTCTTCTGATGAAAGACTGATTGATATTACTTTGTTTAATAATGTATTGTTTAATACAATTTAATGCTGTATTTAAAAAACCTGAGCTTGTTGTAAGTATATAAACCCTTCATACTGAAAATACAATAGATACATTTCATACTCGGGACTGACATTTTACTTTTCTAGAATCCTAGTAGCTATTTTTTATGTACTGGAACTATATATTTTACTTTCCTTCATTTGCATAATACAATAGACTTTTTAAAATATGAGTTTCAAAAATTATAGTTTGAGAGCCTTTTAAGAACAATTCCTAATTAAGCAGGCAAATGATTAATCTGCAATATGCATAAACCAATAGTTAAAGTTTTTGCCTCACTTTTAAAAACTAAATTTTAGGATAGCTCACCTGTATCTGTGTGAGACACTGAAGCTGTATTCTCAATGTCATCACAGAAATTTAAGTGACAATCTGAATAATAATAAAGTTTTTCCACTTTATCTTGTATTTCATCTGCATCTTCTTTACCTACTTCTACAGCAAGAATGTGCTTTAGAAGTGCCCTATGAAAGATAGATTAGATAGCTTTAAATATTTAGGTTAAAACAGACAGTTACACTGGAGAACCATACATTAAATTTCTTAATCTTTCTAAAACTGCTTCTTAAATTAAACTTGAATTAATATTTCAAATGTAATATCTTTTAAGAACATATATTTAAAAAGGTGAAATAAAAGAAGTGTTATTTATCAAATGTAACTTATACTGTATTTTAACGCAAAAAAATCTCTAATCAAACTTCAAATATATTGTCTTGTAAAATCAAATGGTTCATAATCTCTGATGATTTTTTTGTAACACTTAAATAATATAATATAATGCTTTGTTATTTCTGCCCCAGGATAATAAAATTAAACTACTAATCCTATTCTATTAATTAATACAAAACTCATAAGTTTCCTTATATTAAATAAATTGAAAACAGCCAAACACCTCAAATCTATTTCGAAATATACTTGCCTTGTAGAATTTATTTTTTACATTTTGTCAGGGCCTGAATATTTCTGCTTAGTCTACTCATCTAGTGAAAGGACAGAGAATGCCTGCTAAAAGTCCTCAACTATTAAGAGTTATGAAAGGAAAACCCTAACCCTACCCCTGCTCACAAAGCAGGTGTTCCTTGTCTTGATCCCTTTCTCTGGATCAGCTTGTTCTCATACATCACACCTCACCTTTGCTAAAGTTGTTACTCTCTTGGAGGTTGTTAACAACTTGAACATTAAAAAAGATCTTTAGGGCTTGAGTGACAGGATAGTAATATAATTATATTTTTTATTATACTTTTATATTATGTTGGTGTGAATCCACTGTGTTAACTGGTATCAATTGGTTTTATACACTGCTTAAATTAGGCTTGATTGAAGCACTTCATGCATTCTTAAAACAGATTTTAAAAACCAATTATTTTGTTTAAACATCCAAATTTATAAAGTATACTTACAAAGAATCAGGCTTCTTTAAACTTCCAGAAGCACATTCCTCAGGTTTGGAGTTATACTGAATTGTATTCTAAAGAAATTAAAGATATGTTGGAAATTATTGGGTATCCCTAACTGAGTCAGATAAAATATTTGAAAAATATGCCTAAACATGGGTTCCAAAAGCAGTTTGTAGATCAATTTACTGTGAAAGGTCAGTAAGAAGAATTCTACCAGTGAAAGGTCAGTAAGACGAATTAAAACTATAGTAGGTCATTATAAAAAATAGAAACTCCCTGTGTAATTCAAATCTTACAAAACATTAATCAAGACTTGTGTTTTTAACATGAATTAATGTCTACAGCTAACGACACTGAATTTCTATTTATGTTGATCATACACCTTCATTAAGAGTTTGTTTTTCAACTCGTTACTAGCTGTTAGCATCAGACAATAATATTAAAAATAAATCCCATAATATCAAATCTCATTTTAATGCTATCACTTTACTTTTGCAAAAAATAGGTGTAAAAAATAGGAAGAGAACACTTGAGCTTTATAGAAGAAAACAGGAGTGTTATCCTATTTGAAGTCCAAAAGGATTTAAGAAATTAAATATAAATATATCAATCTGTTATTGCAACTTATCCAATATGGTTTTGCAACATTCAGATGACAGAATAGGACATTTGGAGTTTTCGCAAAGTAATTCAGTAATACTTGAATCTCATTTCACATTTGAGACAATTTTTAGATCCTAATAAGTCAAGAACGTTGATTTATATAAATATTTTTCCAGTAGCCTGGACTGATGTATAAATTACAAATGTACATACAAACAGAATAAAAAACTTACAATATTAGCAGAAGAGACATTTAATGGATCAAGAATATTTGCTGCACTGAGTAGATCTTGAACAACTTTAGAAATAATCTTCTTCACTACCATGAATCCATTCTAATTCAAAACAAAATAAAATAGGTATAAAAGGCATCTCATAGTAAAGTTCAATGAGCTTTTTAAACATAAAAGTAAAAATAAGTTAATTAAAACAATATGATAGCAAAATAATTTTAAAATTATTATTTATAATTTATTTTCTGAAACCATATTAAAACAAATACCTCAGCATGTTGTTTTTCTTGCTGTAACTTAAGCTTTCTTTGTAAGTCAAAATTCTGAAACTTCAAGCTCTGATACTCTTTCTTTAAACACAATATGATATCGTGTGCTTCCCTCATTTTACTCCTCTCTTCTTCTAAAGCCAAAGCTAAAGCACGATTGTTTGCTTGGACGTTTTTCAACTGTGCCACAGAATTATCTAGAAAAGATAGATAATTGTAACTTCAAAAATTCTATTTTTGGAGGGGGGGGGAGAGAAAAAAGAATATTAAAATACTTACCTGCAATTTTACTTTTAATAGGTAAAACTTGGTTTGCTTTACCCAGCCTTGCCCATTTTTTATTTCTCTTTTCTTTCATTCGTTCTTTTATATCTTCCAAACTATCCTTAAATGACTTTTTCAAAGCTTTCGCCATATTTCATTCTAAAAATACACAAACTGTTGTATTCAGATATATTTAAAATTTTACCACTTTAAAAATAATTTATAATTACTACATTTTAGAACAATGAAGACTTTTATACTTGAGAAAAAATAACACATTTAGCATTTTAAAATAGACTTAATGTAAAAGTTAAATTTGGAAAAATACTATACAAATGGATATGAATTTACAGAATTAGATATTTTGGTACAGGATCAAGGAGATGCTTAAAATAAAGCATTTATTAATAAGCAATAAAAACATTTGCCCTCTTGTAAAGTTGCTGTTGTTTCTATAAAAAAGCAGTTTAGACACCAACTGCATTCTGTTCCCTATGGCTTATTTCATTTGAAAGATGAAAAATCCATTTTAGTTTTATTTATGAATTGTTAATAGTTAATAATGTTATTTTACCCTTATGATATTTGTATTATTGGAATATTTCATTTCTTACCAGATCTAATTCTGAGCTGGGATCAAGAAAACAGCCAATTGCATAAAGTCCCTTGTTCTTCACCTAAAGATGGTGACAGCAAGCTGTTAGGTGTGAAGCTGCAAAGAACCCTTCTTCCAGCACAGGTTATATACACCATGATTAGCCCCTCCTTTACAATGCCACCCCTTTACCCATTCAACCAATTCTACCCTCTCATCATTCCATATAAGGAACGTCTTCCTCCCATGCCAGGGCCTCTAAATTTTCTGAGAATAATTTATCTAATGAGAAGCTATCCTTGAAATGTACACCTTATCTCCCTTCCCTGGGTAAGCTACTTTCAAGGCCTATGAACAGTAAAAAGTAAGGCTAGCAAATCTTAAGGAAAACAAAATGAGACAGGGTTTCTGAGCTTTGATAAAAATACTCAAAAATTCACAAATGAAATATAATATAAACACTAAAATATTATAACAATTTCCTTTTATTGTACAATAAATTTTTTCTTAAATTTTACAGCACACTTAAATTTCAATGGCTGTATTTAGCAAGCTTATGATACATTATAGTCCATTCAGATTGATTTTCATTAGTAAAGATTTAAAAGCAGTAGCAAGTTGATAAAGTAAAACCTTGACACCAACAAAAATCTATAGCAAAACTGCAGCTATCCTATTGCAGTAACTGTCTTATCTAGGTCATATCCAAGATCATGTTGTTCTAAATGGTCTCTTAAGATTTCTGTCTCCTTTGAGTAATAAGAAAATATAAAGAAAGCAAATGTTCATCCAATGTAGTGTCTAAATCATGCAAAAACTCTGAATATGGCCTTGCAAAACCATGACTTTCAGTTAAGAAACAATTTGGTTTTCTAGGCCACAGGTTGACTGAATCTTCTCTTTGTCACTATTCAGAGTCAATTTAGATTGTTGAGAATGGTTTTTTATATTAGCACTTTAAACACCACACACACACAGAGAGAGAGAGACACACACACACCTATCACCACATCTTCCCAAATATTTTCTCCTCCTTCAAATGTATAACATGATGGAGGGCTTTCAGACAGATAAGCAATCAAAACTTAGATGTGTTTCTTTTATGCACTTCTAATATCAGTGAGATCATGGAAAACAACTCTATAATTAAACATCCATACTTACCTTCTGCAATGTACATGTGATATAAGAATAGTATTTTAAAAACATTATGTTCCTTTCCTATAACTCAAACATGAAGTTTTCTAAAAAGAAATCAAAGATAAAAAGAAGCATTCTAGAATACAGCTTCCTTAAAATTACAGACACAAATCCTAGCTATAAATTGGAAGCCTATCTGAGGTCATCTTTTACCATTTTAATTATCTTGAAGTGATATTGATATATAAATTAAAACAAATACAAACCCCCAAGGTCTAGAATCAAATTATTGATTTAATACCAGCCTAAATGCTTTTGCTATTAATGCCATCAGTTAAGATGATGATGATGTTGATGATGTGTGTGTGTGTGTGTGTGTGTGTGTGTGTGTGTGTGTATGTATGTATGTATGTAAAAGGTAAAGGTTTTCCCTGTCCAGTTGTGTCCAACTCTAGAGAGTGGTACTCATCTCCATTTCTTAACCAAGGGCGACAGCATGGTCCGAAGACACTTTCCTTGGTCATGTGGCCAGCATGACTATACACAGAGGTGCACTTAACGCTGTTACCTTCCCACTAAATGCTATTACCTTTCTACCCAAAGTATCCTCAACTTTACAAATTGAACTATTCATCAAGTAATAATTATGTTGCCATGTTACCTCTTAGATAACAGTACAAGAAAACTATTAAGTGCATAAAGTCTCATTTGTTCCCTTTCTCGTTATATTTAAAGATAAACAAAAACCCACTTAATTCTTTTCTGGCACTCATTTGTAGGACTATTGTAGAAATGTAGATTATCCTTGGACACCCATATACCTGCCTCCACAGGGGAAAAATATTACAGCCAATTATTTATGCCTGAAATGGACTAATGGACTAGAGGACCCACAAAATGATCAACAGGACACCTGTACCTCCACTCCACAATACTCTCTGGTGACTGAACAAGAGAGAGCTTATTCAGACCCTGACGCTCAACAAGAATCTCTGAAATCTTCTATCCCCCAAAGTTATTTAAATGTCACACTGACATTACTTGAAATGTCTATTTTGATTCCCATTTACAACAAGAGAAAAAAGGGCTGATCCTTCAAATTATAAACTAATTAGCTTAATTGACATTGTAGCAAAATTGTATGACAAGTATTTTTTTATATAAGATTGAGAAATGGGTAATGAAAAAGGGCTTGCTTCCTCAAAAGCAAAGTGCTTTTAGGTCAGCTCACTCCACTACTGATAACTGCTTCATTTTAAGCCATCTAATAAAAAAACAAAAAAGGTTAAAGGGAGCCAGTAATCTGTTTACAACTTTTATAGATCTCAGTGCAGCATTTGATTTGACAAACAGGGACCTTCTTTGGAAATTTAGGCGCCTGATTATATACCCCAGCATGGAGCATAAGGCAGCTCACTTACCACAATTGCCTGGGTTCTCCAATTCCAGTAATAGAGGTATACAACAAAATGGTTTCGAAGAACAGGATTTCCTAAGCAATAAGGTGATGGGCAAGACCCTGGTATCAAGTTCCTTAGGAATGTTTTTAGTAAGAAGGAAGGTTATGGAAAAATATAGGGCTTACTTTGTAATCTTTAGGTTGCAATCTTTAACTGAACTGTGTTACTATGATCCCTGAAGATATAAGTATGATGTTGCTCTTAATGACTGATTTATAAGGGGATGTGTTTCCATCCCCATTATATTGATTCAAGAAAATGTATATTTTTCAAAATTGCATAAGAGAGGATCCACTCCAAGCCTAAGTGTGTCCATTTGAAACTTACTTCCAGGTAGTCCTTTTATTTGCAAATTAAAATTTTCTTTTCCTTTCCAGCTATCTGATGTGGTTTCTAGGACAATTCTAGGCCTTGTCTGGTTCTGCTGAACTGATCCGGAAATATTGCCCAACAACACATACTAGTAAATATAAAGTAAAATGACTGAAAAGTGTATGAATGTCTTTTGATTAAATTTGTGGTTAGATCTCTGGGCTGTCTATCCAACACCACAGCAAATCTATTTATACTATGATCGGAATTTTCCTGGGAGAAAAATGAGGCTGGTAGATCCATGTGCTCCAATACTACTTTGAGTAGAAGCTGCATGCCTATGAGCCATCACTGAATAAAGTGGAGATGGATGTTTAGGCTAGCATGATGATGACATCAGAAACTCAAAGTTGTTATGTTCAAGGAGTGTCGAAGGAGGGCCAAAGATAATGGGAAGGTCTGTATTCTCAATCATTATCAGGGAGTACCTCTGGAACAACTAAAACAGGTATAAAATTCATTCCTATTATCTGATCATTGGAGCAGGCCTGATAAGATCTCAGCATCTGGGCACCAAGACCAGGAATGTTCAGCTGTGTGCTATTGCTTTCTGGGACCAGAGGGAAAATAGGAAGCAACACATGGCATTGAATGGTAAGTGGGAGGAGTATAGAACAAGATCCGAGAATGTAGCCCTCTTGGATGCATCATAAAAAATCAGAAAAGATTTGCTGTAATTAAGACCAAAATGGAGCTTTTTATATATAAATCTTCAGTCATGACATTCTTTGGAAGATGGCTGTAAAATGAGCTTTCGGAATATTATACCATTTTATAGTAGTCTTTGTTACACGATCTGTGAATATAATATTATTGTATTGCCTTTGTTACACATATACAATCTGTGAATTTTTTTTCTTTGGTTCAGTACCATTCCTGCAGGAAAGAGAAGCAATTTCCTGTGGTTCTAATGTCGGCTGAAACTATTATTCAATTGCAATTATTGTTACGTTGGGAGTTGTCTTTGCTGACAAATGACCAAAGGGAATAACTGTGTATGTTGATATGTTTTTGAGTTCTTTTGGTGGGAGAGGGAGAAGAAAGATGATGTAAAATATATATTCACTGTGCCCACAATACCTTCTAAAGCAGGATTTACTTACAAAATCCATGGAGGACACGTAAAGGCTTCAGCTCCTCCACTTCATTTAGTTAAGCAAGAGCCTGTGAATTCACCATTGCCAAATATTTGAAAAAGGGGGGAAGGGGAAAACGACTGATGATTAAAGCCTTCTCGCTTTCCCACTTTTGTTACTAACTACTTAAGCCAACAGAATATTCTGTTCTGCTACCTTTAAGGCAGGGTCTCCTCCTGGAATAGAGACCTTTTTACCTTTCTATATTTGTAAACATTGGCAGCCCAATTGCCATAGTTTTGCTAATTTTTTTACATTCCCCAATGAAAAGAAAATGTTAGTAGAATGCAAGAAGAGGATAATTAAAGAATGATTAAGCTGATATCTATGGGACTGAGCTCTGATGCTAAAGGCTGCCTCTAGAAGAAAGAAAAGTTTAAAAGGAAAAGGCCAGCCAAAAGGATTTTGGAGGGGGGAAATCGAAGAAACTCTTTAGATACCAATGGCTGCAATTTGCAATTGTTGCTGCTGGCCTAGAAGCCAGGAGAGGATGATTTCTGCCTTAGGCATGAAAAACTCCTGGGTGACTTTGAGCCAGTCTCTCTCCCTCTCAGCCCAACCCACCTCGCAAGGTTGTTGTGAGAAAAAATTGAATTATTAGCTATGTTAGCAGCCTTGCCTTAATTATACTTATTATACTTAATGTTTGTAAGAGGCCCAAAGTTGCCTCTAGATGAGATGGGAGGAACACAAATCAAATAAATAGCAATATCAATATCAATAGCAGTTAGACATATACCGCTTCATAGGGCTTTCAGCCCTCTCTAAGCGGTTTACAGAGTCAGCATATTGCCCCCAACAACAGTCCGGGTCCTCAATTTACCTACCTCGGAAGGATGGAAGGCTGAGTCAACCCTGAGCCGGTGAGATTTGAACAGCCGAACTGCAGTCAGCTGAAGTAGCCTGCAGTGCTGCATTTAACCACTGCGCCACCTCGGCTCTTTATTTAAATAATAAATAAAGGTAGGATAAAAAATAATAAACTAATAAATACAAAGAAAAGAAGGGGAAAGCGGGGTAAACAATTCCTGATTCCCCCCCCCCGCCATCAAAATGGAAATATAAGAGAAAGACATGAAATTTTTTAGTAGTTTTAAATGTGAAAATGCTACTTGTTAGACCAACAGAAAAATGTTAATTAAACCTTTTTCTTTTAGCAATGAATTAGGTGGTATTTTCTCCACCCTGAGAAAAACGTTATGAAAATTAACTTGTCCCTCAGAAACCTCAGCCCAGAAATTGAAACCTCCATATTTTGCCTTTGAATATTTATACTGATTATCAGCATGCGTAGACTTTTGTACACAAGGAACCTTGTGAAAATTTTCATACAACTGGAAGTAAAATCCAATATATCCTAAACATATTTATTTTGTTTTTCTTTTCTTTTTTCCTAAACATCAGAATGTAAAAATGCTATTTCTGGAGAAATCAAAGAACAGATAAAGCAGTAAAATAACTCTTTCCCTCTGAAGCACATTTTGATGTCCACGTGCAAGAGGCAAGTTAGCCTGGATAACATTTAAAATAAAAATTACTGAATTAATCCTGATCCAGTCATTAGCATCAATGTTAAAATTAAGCCAGTTGCCTGGTGAGACACACAAGGCCACTCTGGATCAGATAATAGCCTAGGATTTTTTTTTAATCTTTTCAAGGCAATTTGCTTCACCCACAACTTGGGCAAAGAGCAAAAGGGGGAGTTGGAACCTTATATTTTATTCTAGGATAGGCAGTCCAATGGCCAGACAGTGCAAGTTCTTTTTTACCTTTAGACATTAAATGGGTTAATAGGAGTTTATTGAATTTTATTTATCTATGAACATGGCACAAGATTAAAAATAGAGAAAAAATAGGGACAATGTTCTAATTGATTTTTTTCCCAACAACTTTTGACTATTCAATCAGTCTAAGCACTGAATAAATTCTTGTGCCAATGCACGTATTTTTTCTTTCTTTCCAGGTTTATACATTTTAATTTTAGAAATAGTATTAAAGAGGTTTTTTTCTGTTAAATTGTACAATGCTGTTTTTATTTAAAAGGAAAAATGAGGTCAGGGTTACCACAACCTCTACTTTTGTTAAATGGAAAACGTATATATAATAGAAAGTTATATATAAAAGTTATCACCATTAAATATTGAAAAAAATAGTAATTTGAGGATCATTATATTTTTGGGACTGGCAGTTGGTAGACTAAGCAATCACATTAGGAGGTCTTTGTCTTCTCTTTGTAAATAGTATTAATGTCCACCGAAGCGCCTACTTTGGTTTTAATATATTAGTGCCTACTTTGGGACACCATAAAAGCAATTGGGGTAGATCTCCATACCTCTAGCTCAGGGCTGTCAAACTTGTGTCGCGCGGGCCAGATGCGTCACTTGCTGGTCATGCCCATGCCCAGTTTAGTGAAGGGGAAAAATTTTCCCAATACGTCATGTAACACCGCCGTGACAACGTGAGTTTGACACCCCTGCTCTAGATGATGTCTAAATTGCTCCCAGGTTTAGTTTGGCAGTAAAGGGAATGCAGGTGTTTGACATGAAACAGATCCAAATTTCATACTGTCCATTATAAGAAGACAGCGGTACGTCCATTGAGAAAAAAGGTCAACTTACCCAGCTAATTCTGGAAACAGCTTTGATTTCCCAGGTAAAAGAGATAGATTGGCTGAAAAATAATACTTTAAAAGGTCAGGATGGATTTACATTTGCAAAAAGAAAAAAGAAAAGTAAACTGGTAAGATAAATGTGTAAATCTGATATTAACATTGACTTTATTTTTTTAAAGGATATTTTGAGCCTATTATATATGTTGCACTAATTTTTGTAGATTATTAGAGCCACAACGACTTCTATTGTGAAGTCCTTGAACACAATTGCTGATGTCCTAGCAACAGTAAAATGGGGCCCTTGAGGTGCTTACAGCTACTGAAGAAAAATGAAAATGCCATCTAGCTTACAGTATTTTTATTCTGCACAGAGTAATAAGCAGTACACACAATGATTATCTTTTCTTTAAATTCTGGGATACCAAATTTTAGATTGGTAAAAGCTTTATTTTGTGCTATATTGTTCTTATTAGTTGTTGGACTCACAATATGTTGTGTATTCAATTCCTTCCCTTCCTGATGTCTTCATGTGGCCAAAGTTTTGCCAACCTTTTAAAAAGAAATAAGATAATATTGGTTGAGCAACAATCTTCTAATTATACTTTCTGCCTTTCCCCAGTCAGGCTGATAGTCTATTCAGCGGTCTAAATTTTAATATATTCTTCATAAATTTCTGTGGCTTATGTAACCCTGCAAATTTTGATACTGGGTAAAATGGAACATGATAAGATAACCCAATTCACTTAAGTTTAATCCAATTGTATTTATGTATTGCTAAATTACTGGTTATTTATGTATTAAAATACTGCTTATTATTTAAAACATGTTGCCATGGAGTTCAACTGCTTTGTTGAGCAGAAATGAGACCAATTTGACCAGACCATCTGTCTCCAACTCAGGAATGCCTAGCCATTAAGGTGATGAGCAAGACCTTGCACCAAGTTGCTTAGGAATGTTTTTAGTACAGAGGAAGGCCATGGATAAGATAAAGGTCATAGCTACTTTGTAACCTTTAGCTAAACTGTGTTGCTATTGCACTGAAGATGTATGTTGATGTTGTTCTTAATTATTGGTTTATAATGTGTTCCCATGATTGATTCATGACAATATAGACTTTTCAAAACTATATAAGGAGGTGTCCACTATAAATTGGGATGTGCTCAATTGGAATTTGCTTCTAGATAGTCCTTTTAATTGCAAATAAAAGTTTACATTTCCTTTTCAGCTAACTGGTATGGTTCGTTAGGCCTGCATGCCAGATAAAAGGACCCAACTTTATGGGACAACAATGCCAGGAACACATGGCTCTCTTTGCATTCTCTGCTTTCTTGTAACTGATTAGTTTATACACTTTCCCCAACACTAAATATCACACCACAGAAACAAGACACAAGCAGAAGCCTTTCCCAAAACAATCATTACTTTATTTCAGTTCATCAGCAATGTTTTTATCCATTGCTTTCCCACTTATTCCATTGATGAAAAAAGGGTGTGAGTATCCTAGATCAGTCAGAACACACGCTTCTCCCAGGTACCATCAAGAGGTAGAAACAGTCTCCAGCAAAGGAGAGTCTTTTGCAAAGCTATGCACACCAGTACAGATCAGTTGGGATAGAAGAATCACAATGAAACTAAACCATGGAAAAACAAACATACAGAGAGATGAGAAGAGCTTTTAACATACACACATGGAACTTTGCACAATGAATTAACCTTCCTGTCCCTATTACCTTTCCAGAGTGATAGAAGAAAAAAACTTTCAAAGTGGCAAAATACTTAGACATGCCATTGCCAATCTGCAAAAGTACCCCACCTGCACACCTCAAAACTCACTGGAGCAAGGCAAATTTCAAACTAATGTGATTTTTTTTAAATATCAAAAGAATCTTGGATAACATCACTTCTGCTGAATGACCAAAACAATCCCTGTATCTCAAACCAAAATTCCAATACTTCCCATTTAATATTAAGTACAAAGATAGAACACATAACAACCCACCTAATTAACTCTTCTTTTTGTTCCCTACAAGAATGATCAATGATACCTATATTAGCATGGAATCTAGCAGGATAGAAAAATAAACTGTATAATCTTACTAAATTTGTTTGGTCTTGGTCTGATTGCAATATCAGAAACCTGGTTAACAGCCAGCAATGAACAAATTACACTAACTGGCTTTTAAGTCATGGATAACCCTAGCACGGAAAATAAAAGAGAAACACTGGGCAATAGGGAGTCTGGCCATATTGATCAAGGAAGAACTCAAATGGAAAGATAAAAATGACCAGGCACGCCTCTTTATGTTTTTTGGTTAGCTGTTAAATTTCCATACAAGACCTCAGTGATTGTGATGTGAGATGTGTATATACTCACACATAATATTTCTCTGGCATATGTGTGAATTTAAAACAAATCTTGGTAGAACTAAATCCAAAAAAATGTTTTGGGAGATTTTAATGTGAGATTGGTGACTTTTGCACAAAATCATATTAGTAATCTGAACATTTCCAAATTTCACTCCCTATTATTTTTATGGTTCTTTAAGGACCACAAAAGAAACTTAGCTGGTATACAGATATGGTATGTAAATGTATGATATGATTGGTATGCAAATGTAACTTACAAATTCTAGGGGGCAAAGTTTTGTATACCAATTGGGGTATCACCAATATGCTGATACTCAGCTGTATGTCTTGACCCATGATGAGTTAAGTGATGCCATTTCCTCTCTCTCACAGAGGCTATTAGGGGCTGGATGGGGAGCAATGAGTTGAAACAAAATCCTTGCTAGACAAAGTGGCTCTGGGTTTGGGGTTTGTTGGCTCAAGGAAAATTGCCTTGGTCTTGGATGGGGTGGCACTACCCAAAACAGACCCTGTGCATAATCTAGGGGACTGGACTTATGACTCCTGCTCGAAGACCAGGTGGAAGTTGTGGCCTTTGCATAACTGCAGGATGTGCATGTTTTATGCCCTTTCCTGGACCAACAATCCATACTCAGAGTCACTCATGCACTAGTCACTTTCCATCTTGACTATTGCAACGTGCTCTACATGGGACTGTCCTTGAAGAGCATCTGGAAGCTCCAGTTGGTGCAAAGTGCAGCGGCCCAGATGGTTTTGTGCAGAGCTCAGTGTGCACATGTACCACCCCTCCTGCAGGAGCTGCATTGGTTGCCAATTTGCTTCTGGGTACAATTAAAGGTACTGGTTTTCACCTTTATAGCCCTTAATGGCTTGGGACCAGATCATCTGTGGGACCATCTCTTGCCAGACACATCTATCCAACCCATCAGAGCAGGGAGGCAGAGAATGTTGCGGGTTCCATTCCTGAGGGAGATACACCTGGTAGGACCCAGAAGGCTTTCTCAGTGGTGGCTCCCTCTCTCTGGAATATCATTCCCCCAGAGATTAGAATGCTCCCCCCCCCCACTCTAATACTCTTCCAGAAGACACTGAAAGCCTGGTTCTGCCAGAGGGCCTGGGGAATCGGGAGCAGTATTTTCCATAAGATGTCTGCAGTTGACTTGAGGAATTGTCTTCAGATTGTAGATGGCTTATAGATTAATATACTCCACTTTCCCTCTGCTCATCCTATTCCCTCCCTCCCCATCTTTTAGCTATCATATTTTGTATTTTGACTTTTGTTTTATTTATAGTTTTATTTTTAATATTGCAAGCATCAGTTACTCTACAGTAACATGAGCAGCCAATAAATTTAATAGATTGATATCAACTGCAAGTTCTACTCTCCAGAAAGAGCCGCTTATTTAGACCCTTATTTAAAAACTAAAATATAATGGGGCAACTGGGAGAGACAATCTTACTTACTGCTGGGAGCGAACATGCACATCTTCATTTCAACAGGTGTCTCAAAATGGACAGAAAGGGCGTTGGTACTTACCTGATACACCTCTTCTCATAGTGGGGGAGGAGTATCCAGGACATTGTCCTCTCTTGATTGGACTGAGTCAGATAAGCTCTTTTAGCCACGCCTTGGTCACTAGGCTCCACCCAGTTATCGGTGAAGAACTCTATCCGACACGCTGTGTCATCCACTCTAAACTTTTAGTCTCAAACCTTTATTTATTACTTCAACAGAACAGTTCAACAAACAACATAACAATTTTGCAATGTACCCATATCCAGGAGGGGCTGGGTACTCCTCCCCCCACTATGAGAAGAGGCGTATCAGGTAAGTACCAACAGCCTTTCTCCATAGTGAGGGGAGGAGTATCCAGGATGGGACGTACCAAAGTCTACACATCCCTAAGGAGGGTTACACATTTGAGTATATGCCCAAACTTATGCCTCTCCCTCGCCTTGTAAACAGCCTGCAACACCCTACGTCCGAATGAGGCTTCCGCAGAAGCAAAGGCATCCAACTTGTAATGCCTCACGAATGGTGAGGGGGGAGACCCCATGGCTGCCCTACAGATCTCAGATAGTGAGGCCTGCGTGGCCTAGGCCGCCAAAGTGGCCATGCTGGTGTGTAGAACGTGCTGTGATAGACCTTGGTGTTTGCAGACCCTGTGACTGATAGGCAGAAGCCATACAGGTTTTTAACCACTTGCCTATTGTGGTGGAGGTCACCTTGTTCCCCAGGGACCCCAGCTGGAAGGAAACAAATGGGCTTCTGACTTCCTGTTTGGCCTGGTTCTTCTGAGGTAAATCCTCAGAGCCCTCCTTGTATCCAAGGTGTGCCATTTCCTCCCTAATGGGTGAGAAGAGCCCAGGCAGAAATGGGCAATATCAGCTCCTGAGAGCAATGGAAACAAGATCACACCTTGGGTATGAAGGAGGGGTCCAACCTTAGCACTACCCTGTCCTAGTGGAACATGCAGAGATCATCCCTCAGTCAGGGGTCACTAGAACACCCAGACCCTCAGTGGCTCCAGTTGTCCGCTTGGCCCTTGAGCAGAGCACCCTGAGGGAAAATCTCTCCTTCCCCAGGGTTATACAAACTATCCAGGCAGCTCACAGACCTTCCATAAAGAAGAGGCAGTCAAACTATTCTCCAAGGCACCTGAGGGTAGAATAAGAAGTAATGGGTGGAAACTAATCAAAGAAAGAAGCAACTTAGAACTGAGGAGAAATTTCCTGACAGTTAGAACAATTAATCAGTGGAACAACTTGCCTTCAGAAGTTGTGAATACCCCAACACTGGAAGTCTTTAAGAAGATGTTGGATAGCCATTTGTCTGAAATTGTAGAGGGTTTCCTGCCTAGGCAGGGGTTTGGACTAGAAGACCTCCAAGGTCCCTTCCAGCTCTGCTATTGTATTGTATTGTATTGTATTTTGCTCTTTCTCTAGTCGCCCCCACCGTTGGATGGACCTTCAGGGGTAATCTCTAACCTGATTGGAGGCTCTTCTGCCCCGCCAGTGGGGCTGCCTGCTTTAGAAGCTAGGCCTTGATTCTGGCCTGTGTCCTCCGAGCTGCAGGGGGCTGCCATCTTGGGCCACGTGGGACCTCTCCTCCCAATTCTTTTCAAATGGCTCTGTGGGGCAAATACAATAGCCCTGCCCTCAGGACTTTGAAAATATGGCTT